GGAGACTACAGCATCGGGATTATGGGTGAAACTTGAAAGTTTGTACATGACCAAATCTCTGGTGAATCGACTATACCTGAAGCAAGCTTTATATTCATTCAAGATGAGTGAAGACAAAGTGTTGGCTGAGCAGTTGGATATGTTCAACAAGCTGATTCTTGATCTTGAAAATATTGATGTGAAGATCGATGATGAAGATCAAGCACTATTGCTGTTGTGTGCTTTGCCCAGAACACATGCTCACTTCAAAGAAACTCTCTTGTATGGAAGGGAGTCCCTGACCTTTGAAGAAGTTCAATCAGCCTTGTATTCTAAGGACTTGAACGAACGAAAGGAGCATAAACCTTCGACGGTGGGCGAAGGTTTGGCCGTTAAGGGAAAATTCTTGCGAAAGGATGGTAAGTTCGACAAGAAAAAAGGTAAAAGTCAACAGAAGTCTTATAGTGGCGAAACATCTAGTATTCGATGTTACCACTGTAAGAAGGAGGATCACATAAGAAAGATGTGCCCTGAACGCCTGAAAGATCATGGAGGTAATGGCAATGCAGCCATTGTTCAAGATGACTTCGACTCATCTGATGTTCTTGTGGTTTCAAGTGGCGACTCGAGGAAAGAGTGGATTATGGATTCAGGTTGCACTTGGCACATGACTTCAAACAGAGAATTGTTCGAGGAGCTATGTGATCAAGATGGTGGATCTGTGCTGTTAGGAAACAACAAATCTTGCAAAATTGCAGGTATTGGATCTGTGAGATTCAAGCTCCATGATGAGTCAATAAGGTTATTGACTGAAGTCAGGTACATACTTGACTTGAAGAGAAATTTGATTTCTCTTGGTGAATTCGACAGAAAAGGATATGTTTTTCAAGGAGAGAAAAGTATCCTAAGAGTCATGAAGGGGTCGAAGGAAGTCTTGAGAGGCGTGAAGAAACAAGGCTTGTATACCCTTGAGGCTGAGGTTGTAAGTGGTTCGACAAATGTTGCATCCACGAAATCTATGTCGAAGACAGAATTATGGCACATGAGATTGGGCCATGTCAGCGAAAGAGGCCTGGTCGAATTGGGGAAGCAGAACCTGCTAGGAGGTGACAAAGTCAAAAAGTTGGAATTTTGTGAATCTTGTGTATTTGGTAAATCCTGTAGGGCGAAGTTTAACAAAGGCAAGCAAAGAACACATGGATCCCTGGATTACATTCATGCTGATCTTTGGGGGCCTGCAAGGAATCCTTCACACTCAGGTGCAAGGTATTTTCTATCCATCGTTGATGACTATTCTAGAAAACTATGGGTATTCATTCAGAAGACGAAGGATGAAACTTTTGAGAATTTCAAAAGTTGGAAGATTCTAGTCGAAACTTAGACTGGAAGAAAGGTTAAGAGGTTGAGAACCGATAATGGCCTTGAATTCTGCAACGAAGCTTTCGACAGTTACTGTGTTGGGTCTGGGATTGCAAGGCATAATACTGTAGCAGGTACTGCTCAACAAAATGGCTTAGCTGACAGATTCAATCGAACAATCCTTGAAAGGGTTAGATGCATGTTGGTTAGTGCTGGATTGAAGAAGGTGTTTTGGGCGGAAGCTGTTTCGACAGCAGCTTACCTGATAAATAGATGTCCCTGGACTGCCTTGGGAATGAAGACACCTGAAGAAGTTTGGTCGGGACATCCACCTAGTCTCGACAGACTGAGAGTATTTGGCTGTGTGGCCTATGCTCATATTAGGCAAGACAAGGTCGAACCTAGAGATCTGAAATGCATGTTCATGGGATACCCTGAAGGAGTCAAAGCTTATAGGCTATGGTGCCTAGAGCCAGGTCACAGGAGGTGTATCACCAGTCGAGATGTAGTTTTCAACGAAGCAGAGATGGCTTTCAAGAAAACTGATGATGCTGATGAAGAGCTGGAACAGGGAGAGATTCCTGTTGAGGTGGAGCATGTTGATGCTGAATTGCTTACCCCAGATGAAGTCGAAGAAGACACAGAAGATGTTGTTGAAGATGAGGAGACTGATAATGACTACCTGCTAGCAAGAGACAGGTCGAGGAGAGTCATCAAGCCACCTCAGAGACTTGGGTATGCAGATCTTATAGCTTATGCCTTAATCTCTGCAAGTGAGGTTCTAGACGAAGAACCTAGAGACTATAAGGAAGTTATGAGGAATCAAAAGAAGACAAATTGGTCTTTGATGTATGCTATGGTCTGTACTAGACCCGACATAGCATATGCAGTAAGTCTTGTAAGCAGGTACATGGTGAATCCTGGAAAGGCTCACTGGCAAGCATTGAAGTGGAGTTTAAGGTACATAAATGGGTCTCTGAATAGAGTCCTAATTTATGGTGGAGCCTTGGGTGAAGATAGTAAAGCAGCAATCAATGGATGTGTCGACTCTGATTATGCAGGTTGTATGGATTCCAGAAAATCTATCTCTGGATATGTGTTCACTATGTTTGGGACAACAATCAGTTGGAAAGCAACACTTCAGAAGGTCGTTGCCTTATCAACCACTGAAGCGGAGTATATTTCTCTAACTGAAACTGTGAAGGAAGCATTGTGGCTTGAAGGTTTTGCAAAGGAGCTAAAACTTCAAGGTCGAGTTATCACTGTTAAATGTGATAGTCAAAGTGCAATACACCTGTCGAAGAATTCAGCCTATCATGAGCGAACCAAGCACATTGATGTGAGGCTGCATTTCATCAGAGGGGTAATCGAGCGTGGAGAAGTCCAAGTGCTGAAAGTTTCGACAGATCATAATGCTGCTGATATGATCACCAAGACATTGCCCAGTTGCAAGTTTTTCCACTGTATGCAGTTAATAAATCTGCATGAAGAAAGCTAGTTTCTTGATGTTATAGAGTTAGATCCAAGGTGGAGATTTGTGAGACATTGGATCGAACTCTAGTGTGGTCGAAGTCTGTTCGTAAGTAATGCGTGTTGTAGTCGAAGTTTGTTCTAACATGCATGAGTAAATATTGCTAAGGTTGTTAGCATGAGTAAATATTGCTAAGGTTGTTAGCATGAGTAAATATTTCTAAGGTTATTAGCATGAGTAAATATTGCTAAGGTTGTTAGCATGAGTAAATATTGCTAAGGTTGTTAGCATGAGTAAATATTGCTAGGGTTGTTAGCATGTGCTATTTTATTATAAATAGGATGCTAGTTTCTCAATCTTGGCATAAGGAAAAATAGGAAGATAAAATCCTAATTTCAAGGGAGAGAGGTTATTTTGGTATTCTTGTATACTTGTAATCTTGTTCTAAGAGAAAGGAAAGAATAACAGTTTAATAACCAATCCTTGTTGTTTTACCTTGTTTTCTTTGTTAACCCTAACCCTTGTGAGTTTCTTAATCATTAAGAAACCGTTTATACTTTGTTATAAGGTATCCGATTCACAACAACAAATAATATAGTAATAATGATTAGATTAACTATTGAGTTTTGTTTAATTAACTTCAATTTTTTTTTGTCTTCAATCTAGTTTAAAAGAGTTGGTTAAAATTGTGAAAATATGTAAGAGGTGTATGTGAGTTTTTTTCTATCATTGAGTGTCACATTTATAAGTAAAAAAGAGTCAATTTCTAATGCAGTTTTAGTTAATTTTATCCAATTGCATACCATGTCATTAATATTATTTGCATCATCCTTAAATTATTACTTTTTACTTAATTTATATTTCTAATAATAAAAGCATATAAATATAAAAAAACGTTTTGATAATAAGATAAAAAAAATCTTTTTCAATTTAATCAAAAATCTTAAATTCAAAACGATAGTCTCTATAATCAAATATTAATTGATCTAATAGTGATTGATGTTGGACTTATTAGAAAAAAATACGGTTCGATCTCTCACAATTGCAATTAAGTGAAGATTAAAACTATTTAATGTCAGAACTAATCACCGAACCAAATTGTCCTTTGTGTTTTGGGGTTTAAGAAGATTTGGATCATCTCTTTCTTGGTTGTCCAATATTTAAGAGGTGATGGAACAAAATTTGTCTTTGCCTTCGAATCGACGACGTCTCTTCGTCGAGCTCTATTTTGGATTGTCTTCTCTTATTGGATAACTTTTGTAAGTCGGTTTAGTTTTTGGATACAGGTTGGTTTTTTGGTTTAACTACTTGTTGAGTTATTTGAAATTATAGAAATGACATTCTAAGAAGCTCTTGTGAGATTGATTTCGTACATTTTTTAGAGTTAGTTGGTTGGATTGGTGTTCCAATTCCAATATTCATCTTTTATAATTTTCGTCAAGAGTGTTAGTTATTATTGTTTTGTTGGAGGTTTGTCCTCTTTTCTACCTTTCGGATAAACTATTCAATCCAATTTGCTTATAAAAAAAATTTGTTTGAAAAAATATCCAACTTATACCAAAAGAAATTATTGTAGAAAAAAAATAGAATAGTAGAACATAAGATTTAATTTTATTTTGGTGACCCCTTCAAAGGAGTAGGTTGCAAAATACATTTCACACATAACTTTGAACTGCCTAAGTTCAGAAACCAAACACACTAACAAATGAGAATAACAAAACACATGAGATAAAAAGAGTGGCTTTTCTTGAAACTTTGCCTCCTTGTATTATTGCCAATGCATCTTCCTGCTTATTTCCAATATACCTAAATTCCTACAAAAGTATTTACACATTTACATATATCAATATATTTCATATCATCGTAACGAAATTATATCAACCAAATACTTCTTTCATATCATTTTTGAAAACTCACCAGAAACTTAAAAAGACCTCAAGAAAAAAAATACTTCCAAGAAAACTTTACAATTTAGATTATAGAAATCAGTTAAAAGTGATGTCAATATTAGAGTATTCAAATCATTTATTTTGTTTCTCTTGTTTAATTGTTTCATTGGTATATATAATATATATTTTTACAGTCAACATTTTTGTTCTTAAATTATTTTAGTAATAAAGTGTGTTTTAGTAATGTGCGAATGAAGAAGCATACCAAGGGATATACCAAGGGATCTACTGTAAACCACTATCTAGTAGTGGTAAGGTGGAGGAGGTGAAGAGTAGACATAGTGCGGTGGAGGTGGTGAGTAAACAGGTGGAGGAGGAGATTTATATTTGTAAACTGGTGGTGGTGGTGAGTAAACAGGTGGAGGGGGAGATTTATATTTGTAAACCGGTGGTGGTGGTGAGTAAACCGGTGGAGGAGGAGATTTATATTTATAAACGGGTGGTGGTGGTGAGTAAACAGGTGGAGGAGGAGATTTATATTTGTAAATTGGTGGTGAGTAAACAGGTGGAGGAGGAGATTTATATTTATAAACGGGTGGTGGTGGTGAGTAAACAGGTGGAGGAGGAGATTTATATTTGTAAATTGGTGGTGAGTAAACTGGTGGAGGAGGAGATTTATATTTATAAACGGGTGGTGGTGGTGAGTAAACAGGTGGAGGAGGAGATTTATATTTGTAAATTGGTGGTGAGTAAACAGGTGGAGGAGGAGATTTATATTTGTATGGAGGAGGTGGTGGAGATGAATATTTATACGGTGGAGGAGGTGACTTGTACACCGGTGGAGGTGGTGACTTGTACTTGTAAACTGGTGGTGGAGGAGAAGGATATTTGTATGGCTTTTCTGGTGGTGGTGGTGGTGAACTATAATGATAAGGTGGAGGAGGTGAGTGCACAGGTGGTGGTGGTGAGCTGTAATGATAAGGTGGAGGAGGTGAGTGCACCGGTGGTGGTGGTGATGAATAGATGTAGTTGTTAGCTTGAGAAGGCAAAGTGAGAGAGAGTAATGTCAATGCAATAGTGAGAGTAATAGAGGCCATTTGAGACCCCATGTTTTCTCAAAGATGGTTTAGTTGTTGTTATTATGAAAGATAGCATCACTCTTTATATAGTTTTTTCTTTACCGCAACTATTCATCTTCCTTGGTGTAGTATGATTTACTATCATTTGATGCATATTACAATTCTCCTAGTATTCAACATCTACCTTTAAAATATTATTTTATATTTTATATTTATAGTGTTCTAAAATTTACATGTTGAACCACTAAATTAGTGAGTTACTGGTATCAAATTTATATAAATTTAAAATACATGAAAAAATCATAAAATAACTTTTTTTACAAATATCTCATAATTACAAAATCTTTAAAAAAAAAATAGAGAATTATTTTGTAAATTTTCATTAAATTGGCAAATAGTTATATTACTGAAATGTGATAGTTTATAATAATGAAGAAAATAATGGTCTGGCTTTGAATAAGTGAGTATGTTTTTCGAGAAATGTAAAGGTGGATTTGGCTTTGACAAAGACAGCAAAGTCTGCATGAATGAAATGTAAACAAAAGAAATAAAATACGTAGCTTATTACCTAAAAAATGTTGACAATGTGCCTTTATTTTTTTTATAGTGACCATATACCAATCACTATTTTACTACTTTTATTTGTAAGCTATTTTCAAAGTAAGTAAAATCAAGACACGCGCATATTGTGTATTTTATCAAATTCACTTGTCCTTTCTCAATATAAACTTTGAAAAAAATTACATATTATGTTGTTTAAGTGAGTGATAAGTGTCAAATAAATGAGTAGAATATTAAATTTATAATAGAGATGTCTTTTATATATATATATATATATATATATATATATATATATATATATATATATATATATATATATATATATATATATATATATATATATATATATATATATATATATATATATATATATATATATATATATATATATATATATATATATATATATATATATATATATATATATATATATATATATATATATATATATATATATATGATGTCCTGAAATTTTTGGTGGAGATCTATCGTCACTTTCTCTTTTGGTTCTAGTTTATTTGATTTATTGTTGTTTCGGCTTCTTTAGACTTTTCAACAATTGGTATCTTAATTGAAAGAATTAGAGTTTGACCTAACTCAACCTATAAAACCGGTTGATAAGGTGAGAGGTGTCATTTTATATAAACTCTTTGTAGATTGTATCTTTAACCAATGTGAGACTTGAGTTTTTTCTAATAGTAATACAATTAGACCGGACCTCTTTGTATCAAATGTTTTCCATTTGAGGATGAGCATACCCATTATAACGGATTATTTCACATTTGAGATAAGATTATTGTGATACAAATGTGAGTTTAACTCCCGAATTACTTGAAAAAAGGATAAGTGAGAGGAATCATATATCTAATGTCTTTAAGTTTCAAGTGAAAATATGTTGTATGTCTCACTTGTGTGGTTTAACTTGAATCAATGTGGTTGCTCCCTCATGATTTATCAGTGGTACAAAGCTTGGTTTGACTTGACGGAGGAGCAGGAGATGGATCATGTGTTGAATCATGTTATAGAATGTGAGAACTCACAGTTGTGGAAGATATTTTTGAGTTCAAGTGTGAGGAATTAGAATTACATTACCTATGAATGAGTAGAATGTTAAATTTATAAGAGATATATAAAATTCAACCTATAAAATCACATAAACAAAATCAATATGCATGAGAAATACTCCACAAAGAAAACAAAAAACAGAATAAATAAATAAAAATATTAGGATACACCCCTATAAAAAGAAAGGTCTCGGCCAAATCATGTTACTAGACACATATGGTATACCCTAATGAAAATAAAAAAAAAAAAAATACTCTCATCCCATAAACCAATATCACCTAGCTTCTCCCTAGTTGGTTATAGATAAGATAAAGTCTATGAAATCTACTTCTGAGATGGATTTGACCTACCTACTAGACTTTTTATTTAGCAATCCTTACAGATGCATTTTAAAAAACAAAGTTAAGTTTAATTTTCTAAAACATCTTCTAAATTATTTTATGTAAGCTATTTTCTAATGTGTATAAACAAAATCACACATAAGACACCTAATAATAGAATTAAGAGGAAATACTTAATATTTAGAATTTCCATAATTTCTTTTAAGAAAATTATGATTGAGATTGAATGTTCTCTTTTAGTAATTAAAATATCCTCTAATTTATTGTATTTCATTTTGAATTTACTTTTAACTTGATTCATTACTATAAAATTTATCTTTCATCATAGTTAGGAAATAGATTTTATCACAGTTGGTGGTCTATAATAACGCAGGGTGTGACAAAAAGTACGTACTTTCTACCACGGGCTAGTGGTCGTGGTGAGAAATTAGGAAGTGTGCAAAATTTCACCACAATCAAAATTATCAATCATGGTAAAATGTTGCTAAGTTATGGCTTCGATTCCCAACCAAATCATGGGTAATAAATAGATAACATGCCACATTTCATCATTGTTGGCTGATACAACTATAGTGAGCTCCTTTATTATATTTTTAAATAATACTTTTTTATTTTTCATATATAGCATATTTTCTACTATAACAGAATATGAACCAACATATACACAAAAATTTGTAACAAAACTATACCTTATATATATGCACTAAAATGACTTTCATCTAATACCAAAATATTAAATAAACTTAAACATTATTTACATATATATATATATATATATATATATATATATATATATATATATATATATATATATATATATATATATATATATATATATATATATATATATATATATATATATATATATATATATATATATATATATATATATATATATATATATATATATATATATATATATATATTTGAATGAAACCATCATCGGTTTTCTTTGTTATTATCATACGTTGGAGTCCTCAGCAACTCCTTTGGCAAAGTCATCAGCAACTTCGTTGTCGAAACTATCAGTAGTTTCTTGGGTGAAGCCTTCAGTTGCTTCTCGAATAAAATTTGTCACAAATTTCTGGCCAAGCTCCTCAGTGACTTGAACCAAAACAACTTTATTAACGAAGTCCTCAGTGACTTCAACCATGTTGACAACGCCGTTGAAACCCTAAGCAACCTCGGCTATGTTAACCTCTTTACGCTCAGTATAGTGAGCATCAACAATTTGTTAAGGCTCAACATCCACCTTTGTATGGCTTTTGGTCTTCTCTCCGAATTTCAATCTCCCCTCTAGGATAGTGTTTTGCACAAGATTCCTGAAAGAAAACATTGAAAGGTTTTATGGCCCAAAAAATTATGGTATTTGCAAAATCTTCTTTTTTTTTCTTTAATCTAAAGGGGGCATTTTAGCATCCGGAGATATTATCATTTGCCCATCTTTAACTAATAAATCAAAGATTTCATCACACTTGGTGACATCGAATGTATAAGTTCTCTTAGAAAACTTATCATTCTTATCTGACTCAGTAGGGTTCTTCCCATTTGAAGGTGCTAAAACCTTGCAAGAATAAGGTAAACCCTTTTTTAATTCGGCAATATCTACTTCATTTTCGTCGAAACATATAGACTCATTGCACGGCCCTTCGTCGTCTTCGTTGAATTCGACATAGGCTATCCTTTTATTCTTATTTACCCTCACTTTTTCATCTCTCAAATGTTCTAACTGTCGAACTCTATCGGCCAACTGGGCCATATCCCTCAGTTATTGAGTATCTAACTTCTTTTTTATGGAATAATTTAGGCCACCAACAGTCATTTCGACTAACTCATGCTCTGGTATTTGCGTGAAACACCTTGCTTTGAGAAGTCGAAATCTATTCAAATAAACATCAATTGGCTCAGTAAACTTTCGTTTTATACTAGCCAATTCTTTCAAACTAATCTTTGTTTGTTCCATATAGAATTGTTCATGAAATAAATGTTCTAACAGGGCCCAATTGTGAATCAAATTTGGAGGTAAAGTTGTGAACCAGGTAAAAGCGCTTTTTGTAACAGAACTTGGGAAATACTTGACCCTAAGATTCTCATCATTCGAAGTGTATCTCGCTTCTATCAAATACCTAGCCATGTGTTCGACAGTAGACTTAGTGGTATCTCCAGAAAATTTAGTGAACTTGGGGACTTTTGTTCTTGGAGGTAAACCTACCTGGAGGATATATTCTAATAACGGTGACGTATAATTTGGCCTTCGAAGGCCAAAGTTTACTCTGTTACATGCCATGATTCTTTTGACCATGGCAGCCAAATTATTGTCTGCCGCTAGATTATTACGTCGAACTTGTTGTACGACGTTTTCAACATCCTGGTTTCTATTTACCAAAACTACCCTCGGTTATTCTTCTCTAGGAACTTGTGGTTGATTCCTAGGAGGTTCGACTCTAGGCCGTTCGACCATTTCATGGTTGTTTTGATTTGCCTGGGCCAAATTTTGTGGAATTTGGTTAATGGTGTTGTCTTCGTCGAATACTACCCCTTAGTTTTCTATCAGATACTCCCTCGATGGATGTTGAGGGGGATTTGGTACACCCAAGAATTCTACAAGGCGTGTCATTTGCGTTGTTAATTGTTGATTGGTTTGTGTAGTATTCTGAATGAGAGGCTGAAAGATTTTCTCCATAATTTGAGACATCATTTGAATTATTTGGTGGTTACTTTCGTCCATTTGTTGTCTCAAACAAGATGCAGAATTGGTTATCAAACCTGGCATTTGGGTTGAATACCCTATACCCAAAATTTGACTATTTCGACCCATAGTCATTACGGGTTCTGTATATAACGGAGGGGCATTTTGTAAGTTTTCCATCAACGAAGTTGGCATTCCATAGGGCCGGTCTCGAGGCAAAGGCATTGAAAACCTAGGAGGAGAGATGCCTCTAAATCTTGAAGTCCCTATCAATGGTAGGGTCTGTAGAGGACACATTGGCCAAATGTAAGTCAGAATAGGCTGTGTATGGGAAATCGAATATGTGGGCATCGAACTTTCCATAGACGGTATTA